AAGAGTTATCAGCTAGCAAGTCTATTTATCAGAAAGGCACTTTTTGCATTTTAGAAATGACTCTAACCCCCTAAGTAGTGTTTGAAATTTGTAAAAAGCCTCCCCAGGGCTCCAGCTGATATTTGCCCTGGCCAGGAGAACTGGGCCTTTTTCCTTTGGGCTCACTGCTGATAATACTGATGTGGACCTCTCACTTCATTAGCTTTGATAAGGGCATTATTTCTCCTACTGCTTGTGAGAAACAAGACTATAGAGATTCTCTAGAGCGGTAGGAACTCTGCCCTTATCATACACAAAAACTAGTGAATTTCTGCTCCTATATAGCCTTACATTGGAAAGCATATTAATCATAAATGCACATTGTGAAGAAACTCAGTCCTACATCTTTAAAAATAGTTTTGACTGGCTTGGTGTATGTCTGAAAAATAGGTTTGAAATAGCTGCAAGAAGTAGTTGCAAGGAAACAGGATTATGCAGAAGATAATGAGGCTAGAAAATAGTACTCTTGATAGGACAAATAATACATGGCCCAGAGGCAGTTTGATATAGTAACTACTATTACTACTAATAATAATGGCTATTATATAGCACTTAGTACCAGACTCTGATTCTAAGTGCTTTATCTGCTATAACTAATTTAATCTTCACAATAATCTCATTAAGTTGCTATTGTCCTTAATCCCATATTATAGATGAGGAAACTGAGGCACAGAAAGGTTGAATAATTTGCCCTTGATCAAGGAGCTAGTAAGTAACACAACCAGTATTTGAACTCAGGTAGGGAGGTTTAAGAGTGTGCTTAATTTAAGCCCCAGATTTGCCACTTAGCATTTGTGTGCTGCTAAGCATGTCATTTAAACTATTGGGCCCTCAGTTTTCTCAACAATTAAGTGAGGGTTAACAATGCCTATCACACAGGGTATTTATGAGTTAATAATTGTAAATCATAATAATGGTAGATATTTATTGAGCATGCAGTTCATGATCTTTACCCTTGGAAAAGTAGTTAGGAGGGCTTTATAGTCAGGCTCTACTACTTACTTGTTATGTGATGTTGGGAAAGTACTTTACATCTCTGGTCCTCAGTATTCTCATCTGTAAAATAGGGGAACATATTTCCACATCTTCAAAATAAAGATGCTAATAGCTATTTATTAGAGTTGTCATGAAAATCAAATGAGATAAATAATTTTTTAGCATGATGCCTGGCACATAATAAGCATTCAACAAATAATAAGAATAGCATATGGAAATATTAAATCAGCAAGAAACTTCTCAGAGGACTCTAGCTAAAACAAACATAAAAACAAGCAGTCAATATTATTGCATCATGCCAGTTTCTTAGTGACTGGGAAAATAAAGTAACTGAATAGCAACTCTATGCTATAAGTGTTAACTTGAGAGAAAGGCCCAAAGAAGGCCATATATTCTATGTTGCTGAGGCTTGAATAGTTCTACTTAGAGACTTAGAAGACTTAGAGACCTAGGAGCCAAACACCATCACTACTAGAGACTCTGTTGACCCAATTGCTCAGGTTCAAATTTATTGGGCATTTTAGTAACCAAGGAGGCAAAACAATAGTTTGGGGCCTGGTTAAGATAGCAGCACTCTGCACCTAAATGTACTTTTGGAAGACATTATAAATTTGAACTAGAAGTACACAAGTCTTACTCTAATCAGTAGCCAATGAAAGAAAGTGTGTTTAAAAATTAGGAAGCTTTTTAGCATAATAATTAAATTGTGTACCTCAAATGGATGGATTTTATGATATGTAAACTATACTTCCATGAAGTTGTTTAAAAACAAATTTATTTCTGTGAAGAATGTCATTGGCATTTTGACACAGATTGCATTGAATCTGTAGATCATTTCTAACAGCATAGTCATTTCCACTTCACAGAAATAGAAAAAACAATTTTAAAATTCATGTGGAACCACAAAAGATTCTAAATTGCAAAGCCACCATGAGTAAAAAGAACAAAGCTGAAGGCATCATACTACCTAACTTCAATATACTACAAGGCTATAGTAACCAAAACAGCATGGGATTGGCATACAAATAGACAAATAGACCTATTGAATAAAATAAAGAACCCAGAAATAAATCCACATCTTTACAGCCAACTGATTTTCAACACAGGTGTCAAGAACATTCACTGAGGAAAGGACAGACTCTTCGGTAAACAGTGGTGAAAAAAATGGATATACATATGCAAAAGAATGAAACTAGACCCCCACAGCTTACCATATGCAAATTTCAACTCAAAATGCATAAAAGATTTAAATATAAGACCCAAAACTCTGGTACTACTAGAAGAAAACATAGAAGAAACATTTTAGGATATTGATCTGGGCAAAGATTTTATAGATAAGACCTCAAAAGCATAGGCAACAAAAGCAGAAATAGACAAATGGGATTATATCAAGCTAAAAAGCTTCTGCACAGCAAAGAAAACAATCAATATAGCAAAGAGACAAACTGCAGAGTGGGATAAACTATTTACCAATTATTCATCCTACAAAGGATTAATATCCACAATATACAAGAAATTGAAACAACTCAACAGCAAAAACCAAATAATCTGATTTAAAAATTGGCAAATGAATAGACATCACTCAAAACAATACATACAAATGGCCAACAGGTATATGAAAAATACTCAATGTCAATAATCATCAGGGAAATGCAAGTCACAACCACATGAGATATCATCTCACCTCACTTATTAATAGAATAGCTATTGTCAAAAAGACAAAAAATTAACAAATGCTGGCAAGGATGTGGAGAAAGGGAAACTCTGATACATTGTTGGTGAGAATGTAAATTAGTACATCCATTATGGAAAAATGTGTGGAAGTTCCTTAGAAAACTAAAAATATAATTACTATAAGATCCAGTAATCTCACTACTGGCTATATATCCAAAAAAATGGAAATTATTATGTTGAAGAGATAACTGCACTGCTATGTTTATTGCAGCAGCATTCACAGTAGCCAAAATAGGAAATCAACCTAAGTGTCTATCAATAGATGAATGGATAAAGAAAATATGGTATATAGACACTGGAATACTATTCAGCCATAAAAAGGAATGAAATCCTGTCATTCTTGGCAATATGAGATAATGATAGCTTGGAGTACATTATGTTAAGTGAAATAAGCCAGACACAGAAAGATAAATATCACATGCTCTCACTCATATGTGGAAGATAAAAAAGTGGATCTCATAAAAGTGAAGAGTCAGATAGTGGTTATTAGAGGTTAGGAAAGGTCAAAGGGAGTGGGGGATAGAAAGGTGTTGGTTTATGCATATAAAATTATAGCTACATAGAGGGAATAAATTCAAGTGTTCTATAGTACTGTAGGGTGACTATAATTAACAACAATTTATTATATATTTTCCAATAGTTAGAAAAGCAGATTTTGAATGTTGCCAACCCAAAGAAATAATAAATGTCTACAGCGATAGATATGCTTATTACCCTGATTTGATCATTATAGATTGCATAAATGCATCAAAATATCACACTGTATCCCACAAATATGTACAATTATTATGAGTCAACTAAAAATAATAACACCAAAAAAGATGTCACCTGGGTTTATTTATAAAACTATAATAAAAGTAGAAACTGAGGTTTCATTTTATTTGATAGAAGATTACATTTATGATAGAAGGAGTGAATATTTAAGTATATCTTATTTCTTTGGGAACTGAAAACATCTACCTTGGGATATGGTGCATCAAATCAAAATGTTACATACTTAGAAAGCTATAATAGGCACTTATGAAAGTGCTAAAAAACTCTCAAAAAGAATTTAGGAAAAGAAAATATAGGATAGACTCAAATAATGTCAAAAAAACATGTTTAAAGTAACTTCTCAGAATTAATGCCCACTTGTTACATAATATTTAAAGGGAGGAAAATAGAGAATTAAAACTTATTAACCAGCCAATATGTGCCAGTCACTCTGCTACATGTTTTACCTTAAGTTGTCCCATTTTATACTCACAACACCCTACATGGTAAGCATCATTGCCTCCATTTTACAAATGAGGAAATAAGCATGAGAGGTTGAGTTACTTACCTAAGGTCATTTAAGTATTAATAGTAACTGGTGACAAATTCAGGTCTTTCAAAAACAATGTGACAAAGTGAAAGAAACTTGAACTCTGAAGTAATTATAAATTTTGTCTCACAGAGAGTTGTTTTTTAAAATTCTGCTGATAATTTTAAGATAAGGAATATTTTGGCAGAAAGCTTCTAAGACTACAAGGCATCAAGTAACACTACCTGGCAATAACCAGTGAAGCACTAAAATGTCATGGTCTATCATTACTGAAAAATTTCAGAGGGCCAAGAAATCCCTTTAAATTAGAGCATCAGGGAAATTTTTGTGGAGAAAAGTGGAGACATACAAGAACACACTCTACCTGAAAGACACTATAAGGACAATGACGTTGCAGTGAAAGTTGCCATGATATGGTTTAAATACCAGGTCCTTACTGGTACACACCAGTACACACCATCTGAAACAACTCGACAAAATCACTTTAGAAAACAAATCAGTTGACTTTCACTTCTGTTTATTGCTGCCACTTATCAATCTATATTCAGTAGCATTGTTGACTTTTTGCCTCTTTGTTCTTTTTTTCTCTTAATAATCTGTTTTCAAATTTTTGTTATAAAAATGTTCAAACATATAAAAATGCAAAGCATTGTACAGTGAACATTCATATACCCAACTCTCAGAATCAACAATATTCAAGATTTTGCCATATCTACTTTATCTAGTCTCTTTTTTGATGAACAATTTTTAAGATCTATTGATGGTAGACTAAGATTAGAATGGAATAAATATCCTTATTTATAATCCATGTATTATATAATGTTTTCTACATAGTCTATATTTATAATACATATTATATAATGATGTAATAAATATTTTAAAAACCTAATCTTTTTGCATTCAAGAAGTAATTTAGTCAAAATATGCCTCAAAGCTCAAATGTCCTTCATTTGTCTCATATTAGTCATTGTTAGGACACAATGTACTCCTCTTATCAAATTTTTATTCTGGTTTCTTAACTCTCCCATGGAGTTCTTGCACCACTTACTGTATAAACCTGATCCCTCCATAAAGTCTTTAATAGTGACGGTCTATTAGTTTTCTCTCCAAAACCAATCTCCCTTTCTTTGATAGGCCTATAGCCTCCAAGCTTGAGACCACATTTCCTGGTTTCCGTTATCTCTAGGTACAATAAATATAAGTCAATGGGATATGAATGGAAGTAAATGTTTGCAACAGCTAGGTCATCTTCACTTGAAAGCCATGTTTCTTTCTTTGGACTTTGTTTTCTTTGCCTCTTTCTGCATACTGGAATAGGAAATGGAAGCAACCCAGCTTTGATGATGCAGATGTGGACAATACCCTAAAGCATGGTCAAGCAGAGAGATGGAAGGAATTTTGGCCATGAATGACTTTGTGGAGCAGAGTTGACAATCTCACAGAGACCTATGGGAGAGAAAGTAAACTCAATAAATAAATGACTTAAATACCTTATTTAAGCCACTGTATTTTGGTGTGTCTTTGTTACAGCAGTTTAACCTTTACACTAATTATTACACTAGTATAATATCCTCTGGTGTAGATATTATGATGGCTTTGCATGTCAGCCAGACCCGGGAGTTCTAGTTTTATCACCTATTGTATATGTGATGTTGGTAAGTTCTTTAAACTGTATGTACTCATTTCCTAATCTGCAAAATAGCAGTAGCAATATCTAGTCACGGTGGTATTGCGAGGATTCAATGAGACAATGGATGCATGTTATCTCATGTTGCCTGGACTACAGTGCAGTGCTTAATAATAAGAGTGTTTTCATAGCCCTTTTATCACACTCAAATATTGTTTTCTGCTAAATTATTAAACTGATTTTTTTATTCAATATTTTCCCTAGTGATGTCAACCTTACCTATTTATATAATTGAATTAACCTACTCAATGCCCACTGCTATACACAGATTTTGGTCACTTTTAAAATAAAGTTTGACATATACATAGTAATTCTAAGAACATAGGTAGTTGACAAGAGTAAATCATATGAACAGATTTTTTGAATTTTTGCAGATCTACATGCCATGGCTATGACGGCTCAGTGAACAAACAAATATGTTTCATCTCTTCTGGGATGACATGACTGGTCAGAGAGGCTTTTGTATTAATACATGTCTTGAATCACAAGTCCTCATAACACTCTGATGTTAAAACAGGAATGTGGTTAATCCCTGAAGTCTTTGCAAGATTTCATCATTGTAATTCAGTGTATAGATTGAAATGATGAAACTGACACAGGAACAAAATAACTCCTTAAAAATCACATAGCTTATTGTACTAGTCCAGAAAGAGGGATTGGAACTGCAGTTGTTGGACACATGAGCAATGCTTTATTCAGTAAATTATTTAGTTTATGTATAAGAAAGGCAAGCATAAGAAATATTCTTATTCCATTCTTTTCAAAGGAGAGTTGTGAAATGACAGAACAGAGCAATTGGTTGAAATTATAACTGTGAAATCGGTAGCCAGAAATATACCTCAAAATGGATGTATATTATCTTACTACATTACATTTGAGTTTTTTATGAGCCCTATTTTTATTTTTTTTTAATTTTTTTTTTATTACAGCATACTACAGGGGTACAAATGTTTAGGTTACAAATATTGCCTTTGCCTCCTTCCCTTTCCACCCTCCCCTATTTCACAGTTTCTGCCGGGCCTCTGTCAGCAGGCAGGACTTCACACTGGTGGAACTCCCCTGATTATGATGTGAGCTGGGAGGTTCCCTACCCAGGACCACGGCCTGAGTTGGGAGTGCGGCCCTCCCATTGGAGGAGTGTTTCCCCACAATTACCCTGCAGCTAGCATACACTCTGATCTGCACCGGAAGGCACACTCACCCTTCTGTGTCCCGGGGCAATGCAATTGAGACATGGGTGTACAGGATCTGGTCTGCAGGCCTGTCCCCTGGGCCCCAGAGATCAATCCCTGACCCTGACAGGGAGAGGAGTGCTGCTCTCAAGTCACCCATGGGGTGCCCAAGCTGGATCGATGTCTCTCTGTCTTGGGGTTTGCCCAACTCTGCTGGAGTCACCAGGCAAGCAGCACCTGGGAGGGCTGGTGGGTAGGGAGCTCACAGTTCAAGTACCTCTTAGTCCACTGCAGAGCCACAAAAGGAAAGGTCTCGTTCCCTGTGGATGCCTCTGGGTGGTGGCTAAATTGTATCTCTTGGCAGCCCTGCCACAGGTAGGGAAGGGGAAGGGGAGAATGAAGCACTATGGTGCCTGCTGATGGGCTTAAGTCTGTGGGGCAGGACGTGCCCAGAGGGAGCTGGGAGCCCAGTGCCCTGTCCACAAGAGGCTCAGCACTCACTGGCAGTAGCCAATCTCTGGGCTGGTGTTAGCAGGTGTAAACTAAAATAGAGGTTTTTTGTTTTTGTTTTTGTTTTTTGAGACAGAGTCTCACTCTGTTGCCCCGGCTAGAGTGCCATGGCATCAGTCTAGCTCACAGCAACCTCAAACTCCTGGGCTCAAACAATCCTCCTGCCTCAGCCTCCTGAGTAGCTGGGACTACAGGCATGCACCACCATGCCCGGCTAATTTTTTTATATATATATTTTTAGTTGGCCAATTAATTTCTTTCTATTTTTAGTAGAGACGGGGGGCTGGTCTGGAACTCCTGACCTCGAGCGATCCTCCCGCCTCAGCTTCCCAGAGTGCTAGGATTACAGGCGTGAGCCACCACGCCCGGCCCTAAAATAGAATCTTAAGGCTCACCCCACACACACACTGGCTGACTGAATGGACCCCCTGGTGGCCAAAGAAATATTCTAAAACTAAATTGTCCGCCAGGAAGAGGGAGGTCAGACATGCCTCATCATGCCCCCCTCCCTTCTTGGGGACATTCTTTGTAACCTATTCACAGGCCTAAGGGTATGCAAGACAAACCTGCAGGTCCTCAACTTACACAACAAATATATGTCCAGTGGCTTATCTCTGATAAACAGCTTGTTATGTTAAAACATTCCAAACCTTTAAACAAAGCTTCATGTCTTTAATCAATCACAAGCCAAAGAATCTTTAAACCCACCTAGAACCTATAAGCTCCCACTTCGAGATGGCCCACCTTTTCTGGCCAAACCAATGTATGCCTCCCACATATTGATTTATGACTTTACCTGTAACCCCTGTCTCCCTGAAATGTATAAAACCAAACTGTAACCCAGACACAGCAAGTTCACTGGCTCAAGGCTTCTTAAGCATGGCTCCAGGTCATGGTCCTCAAATTTGGCTCAGAGTAAATCTCTTTAAAATTATTTTAAAGAGTTTGGCTTTTTTTTTCCCGTTAACACAGGTCTCTCCAGCAGCTCAGGAGCCCACCAGCAGTCCGAGATGCAAGGGAGGGAAAATTGAACTGCTCCACCTACCCTTGTCACTGGTCTCCATGCCTCTCGGGGTTTAGACCTTGCCGATGCCTTTTTCCTTCCATTTCTGCTCCACAACCTCTTCCCGTGGAGTCTCCTGTAGGTTCAGGAACCCTTCCTTCCTATCTTCATCCTATCTATGTTTGTCTATGTGTTTGTTTTTTTTCACTTTAATCTGAAATCTTTCCTTCTTGCAGAGACACTCTGGTTGGAGGTAATTCTTATCTGCCGTCTTGCCTCTCCTCCACCTAATATCATGTGAGCCTTAAAAATCCATAATTTGGAGTCCCCTCCAGCTCAGGTGAGTCACATAGTGAAATGTTGCTGATAAAATACACCCTTGGACAATTTTCTTCTAGTACACAGATATCTACTTTGGAGAGGGCACATGGGTTAATGATACACCAATATTCTTTGCTGTTAATAAAAATGTGAAAGATTAATATTTCTGGTGCCTGAAACTCCTTTCTGATCAACCATTCAAGCAGTGCAATGAGACTGAGGACAACTGCTTCCTATATCTTGCAATCAACAATGCTCACTATCTGTAAGGGATTTTCCTCCCCAGATACTTAAAGGAATTGCACTATGAGTTATTTTCTATCAAATAGGATTAACTTTGTTCTAGATGGAACACTCTTGATTTTCTCTGCCAAGGAGTGCAGCAGTTTGGTGTGTCATGCGTTACTGCTCACTACAGACCGTCGAACTCATTTCATTTGTGACAAGAGCTAAAATTAAACCTTGTTCTCCAGAGATGTGATGCCCATGTATAAATCTGATCTATGCTTCCTTCTAAGCCACCTTGTATATTGCTACAGTAGCTTCTCTTTTTGTTACTAAATCCACTTTGTTTGTTTGTTTGTTTCATTCGGAAGTAAAGAGAAAAGGATTTTTGTGGTTTGCCTTGTCTATAGAAAGAAGTTTCATTGCCTCTATTTGGCATGGGGTCAGCTTTCTACTGAGCTCTGGCAGGCCCAGGCAGGCTACCTCATCATATATCCCTTATTTACTACCTGTTTTCCCAGCTCTGGCTCCGTCACCTCTGATTTAGCAGCCATCTCTAATGCTGCAAAATAACATGAAGCTCCAATATTCAAGAAGCTTCAAACTGTCGTGCCTATGTCAAAGGATTGCCATTTTTACACCTCATCTGAGATTGCAAATCATTGCCTTTATATTTTATCTCAAGATGGCCAGGAAAGTACAAATCATGTAGTTCTGGGTTGGGTATAGGGTGGGTCTTGATTATTGTCAGTAAAGGATGATGGATAAATGGCTGAGTTCCATTTTTAAACTTATATACATTTGAACCAGCATTAATATATCTGTTAAGCCTTTTCCTCTAAGAGATCATTTTTGTAAATATTAGAATATAATAATAATATACTTTTATATTTTTCTCAGATAGCATTTCCCAGCTGAAAAAACTAAGGTCAATTATAATTGTCTTAATTGATTTTGAAGTTGAGTAAACTCAGAGATGAAAATAGGATACAAATGTGTCATTTGCTATCATAATTTAATAAAAAGTAATTCATGTCCTCTGGAAATGTGTATTAGTTCAAATTTTGGTCAATCAAATTAAAAGCAATGCCTACTTATTTGAATTATACAGTTTTGAGGAAGACTCTGAATACTATTATTTTAGAAAATGATTTCAAGCTAAGAAATATAACTGGATTTAATGCAGTATTAATGGTCACACTGTGGTCTCCCTGACATTCTAAAACATTCTTATGCTAATAGGAGTGTCAGTTCATGTTGCTTCTCAAACACTAAATGATTCTTGATTGACTGTTGGGAAGGCAATTTTTTGCCTTGGCATAATGTCTCACCATGAAAGTGTGTTGGAGGGTATACTTGTTGAAAGGAATTTCAGGTATATGCTGGATAGCCATCAGCCTTCTTGTTAAGTTTGGTGTAATTTGCAAACCCCATGTCAGAACATCTGTGCACTTAGACTGTCTCTCTAATGGAACCCGAGGCCCAAGGCCCTTAGGGGGATATAGTAATCAGATTTTATTCATAAGGC